AGGGAGGGAGGGGACCCAGCGTCCTGCTCTGTCCGAGGGTGGACTCCGGGTGGGGATGATGGGTCCAGCACCAAGTTCCCATCCCTGCCCTGTGCCCTGAGTGATGTCACATCCATCCAAGCAGCTTCCACGGGTCTCTCAGTGCCCCCTCCTCCCACCTGGGCCCGGGGCCTTCCTGCTGCCCAGGGGTTTGGTAGCCTCGGCATTGACCATGTGGTGTCCTGAGGCCTGTGCAGTCCTTCCAGGGACATGACTTATGCTGTCATACTGGGGCCCAGATGGGACCCCTCCTGAGCGCCCCTTTCCCAGGATCCAGGGAGGCAGGGCCACCTTGCAGATCCCACAGCGTGGGACCTCCATCTGGCGGCCAGGCGCTCTTCAGGGCCTGTGGGGATGGCCTGGTCCTCTGAGAGCCCATGGCTCGGGGAGGTTGGCACTGCCGAGGGGGCTCAGACTTTGGGGTTGCTTCTGAGACCCCACATCTCTTCCCACTGCAGGACGCTCGCTCCGTGGCTGCCGCCATGGCCTCCCTCGGGGGACCCCGAGCCAACACGGTCCTGGAGCGCGTGGAGGGCGCCCAGCAGCGGTGGAAGCTGCAGGTGCAGGAGCAGAGGAAGACTGTCTTCGACCGGCACAAGATGCTCAGCTAGGTGGGCGCGGGCCTGAGCACCAGCTTCCAGGCCAGATGGAGCCCAGGCCACGGCTCCCCTCCCTCAGGCCACACTCCTGGGCCTTCCCTGCAAAAGCACGTGACGTGTCCTCTGTAGAAATGTTCCCGCTGGTTTAATTCAGGAAGAGTGGGGAGCCTGGGTCTCCAGCTCATCTGCTCGGGTCTCTGGGGTCGAGGGGAGGTAACAGTAGGCGAGTGGGGAGGGAGGTGTTTCAGGTGCTCCCATTTCCAGCTCCAAATGTCAGGAATGTCCTCACCTTCAGAAGGAGGAGCCACAGCCACAGTGGTAGGGACGGCCACCTGCAGTCAGCACATGCTCCCTCCTGCTGTGTGTCCCATGTCCCCTCCCTCTCAACCCCGATACCTCGGCCCCACCAGCCTGGCCCCAGCCTTCAGGGTGGCTTTGACGGGACACCTGACGCTACTGGGCCTTTTGGCCTCATAAACACCGGGACGCTGTCCCCTCCTTCCCTTCGGTCCTTGCCAAGCAGGCAGGGCTGTGCCGGTGCTGACTGGCACCCGGCCCTCGCCCCCCCTCCTGTGTCTGCGGTCCCTGAGCCAGATGGGTAGGGGCACCCTGTGACATGAAAGGCTCTGAGCACCGTAGCTCCTGTCCCGGGGTCCCCACTCGTCCCCGGGTCCACTGTACCAGTGCATGGAGAGCGAGTTCTTCCACTGTCTATAAACAAGGAAGCGTCATTAAACCGTCTCATTTCTCTCGCTCTCTGGATTTCAAGAGATTTCGAGAATGAAGTGTTTCATGAGTGACCTGGTAGGTGCTGCATCCAGAGAGGGGACAGCATTGTCCTTGGCGGGTCCAGGTGGAGACACAGCCACAGGGTCCCGCTCACCGGCCAGGGTGAGACTGGCCTCTGGAGGCTGCTGCTCACGGTCTGTCCTCGAGGAGCTCGGGGGGCCTGAGAGCCTATTTCTGCTTCATGTTTGTGGGACAGTCTCCTGAAGCTCTGAGTGGCTTCCGATGTCCATGTCTCGCAGACACAGTCAATGGTGCTCAGTGTAAAATTCGTGTTTCCGCAGATAAAAACCACCAGGTAGCCAAAGGGTGTGGGCAGCCGAAAACGGGCCTGGAAGACAGGAACGGGAGCCGCTTCCCAGGGCCATCAGAGGCCCCAGGGCTGGGTGACCTCCGTCCCACCCCAGGACGGGCCCTGTGGCGTGTCCAGGGCTCAGGCAGAAGTGGGGCACTAGAAGGACCAGTGATCTGGGTATCTGTCCCCAGGATTGTCCAAGGGAGCCTGCCCTGAGGACCTCAAGCGGAGCCCCAGGCTGGGCTCCTGGGGAGGCCAAGGTTCCCGTTTGCAAAGATCTGCTGAAGTTCAGAGCCAAGTACAAGTGCTAAAGGGTAGGGTGGGGACACACAGGCCAGGTTCCGGGAGGCTGCAGTTGGCACTGGAAGCCGGCGAGGGACACAGCAGCTGAGAGGGGACAGAGTTGACTTTGGACCCAGGGCTGGTGTGCTCAGCTAACGGGAAGTCTGGTGGGGACTGGTGGGAGGCCCACGTTCCAGAGACGCGAGGCCGGGCAGAGGGACCGGCTCCGAGGACACTTCTGCCCTCGCGTGCCTGCCCACCCGACACCTGCCGGGGCTACACTCGGCTCTGGAATTTTCTGGGCCCTTCTGTCACCACTGGGATGTTTGTCTCGGGGCAGCCTGACTCCTCCGCTGCTCAGCTTGGCCCACAGAGGACCAGCCAGGGCTCTGCAGGCTCAGGGTTGTCAGCCCACCCCTGTCACAGGCCCTGGGTCCTTTGGCATTAATCCTTTTACCGAGGCTCACTCTAGGGGTCACCAGGCAGCCTCCTGTACATGCCTGTCCCCTAGAAAACCCTGCTTTACTCCAAGAAAACCAGGGCCAGTAGGTGTGGTCGCAGCCTCTCCGAGCCTGAGCTCCTCCCATCTGCGAATTTGTCCTGTTACAGGTCCCGACCCCCTGTGCTGTGGTCTTGGGGGTAGCGAGTCCCCCCGTTCAGAGTCTTCCACCCGGCCCCTTCCCCTGGGCCTCCATCACCTCAGCCTCACCCCAATCCCTGTCCTCAGCGCGTGAATGTGCTCGAGTGTCCTGCCCTAAGAAGAGCCATCCGTAGGCTCCAAGTCCACCACCGGCCACTCAGGTCTCCTGCCTGTCTCCGTGCCTTCCACCTCCCCACCGCCTCAGTCCTTCACCCCAAATGCTCTGCAGAGAGGCCGAACGGGGGTGTCCTGCTTCTCATGGGGTGGGAAAATGAGACCCTCGGCCGCAGTGGACACCACGGGCCCCTCCATGAACTTCCCTTGGCTGCCGGGACCCGCCCTCGGGCCCTCCCCGCCCTCTCAGGATCCCTTCACTTCTCCCTAAATTGATATTTCCCAGGCCCCCGCTCACTCAGTCCCTCGGCTCCATCAAAGCTGCAGCATCTCCCCTGAAAGTTTGTTCTTGTTCGTGGTTTCCTGGGTGGGTGCTACACTCCATCTCCAGCCCAGACCCCGCCCCTGAGCTCCAGGCCTGTCCACCTGGCTCTCGGCTCCCCTGACTCAGCTCACCTGGCTCTCGACTCAGCTCACCTGGCTCTCGGCCGGACTGCCGCCCCTGCCCGCCCCCCAGGTGCCACAGAGCACGTCAAAATGAGTGTCCAAGACTAACCTCATCTTTGATTCCAGCCCCAAACCTGGAGCTTTCCTGTCTGCTGTCCCCACATCCACTCACAAGGTCCCAGCAGCTGTCCCTCCAGGTGGTTGAGGAATCTGTCCCCTCCCATCCCCTCCACCCTATCCCCCCACAGCCCCCGTTCACGTCTTCATCATTTCTCAGGGGACCACTGCAGGTCTAGGGGCCACCAGAGGTCATGTCACCTCCCTCCTGCAGAACCATCAATGGCTCCCCATCTTCTGAGCCTCAAGTTCTTCAATGAGGCCCAGAAGCCATCGGGGATGTGACCTTCTGCCCCTCTGGCCTGTGGCCCCAGAACCAATTGGCAGTAGGGATGGATGGGGTAGGGCTCCTGCAAGAGTGAAGGGGGAGTCGATGGGCCCTCGAAACAGGTGCTCCCCCAGGTGGTACAGAGAGGCAGCTGGCCCCCCCATCAGACCCCAAGGCTCACTCCTGTCTGGAGGCTGAGGAGGGAGCAGAGCCTGGAGAAGTGGCTGGAGGGGTGGTGCCCAGACCCCTGTCTATTCTAGTCATTAGGAGATTGTTTTAATGAGCATTAGAAACCAACAGCGTAGTTAGCCCATGGGCTGCACAATCTCGTGCATATTAAGGTGAAGGAAAGTAAAGGGTGGGAGTGGAAGGAAAATACTAGGAAAACAGGAATGCCACTGGGCCGGGGCAGGAATTCTGGGAGGACCTGGTGCCAGGGTGCTAGTTCAGGACCCTGTAGAGGTGACCTCTGTGACCCCTGTCAGCTCCCTCCATCTCAGGCTCCCGTGGGTGGCAGGGGGCGAGAGGTGCTGAGCAGGGCCTGCTGGTGCCACGGGGACAGGGGCCTCAGGCCAGACGCCAAGTGGACCCTCAATACTGCGGCCTCCTTGTGGGTCCAGCCCGGGAGAGCCCAGGAGTCACCCGACAGCCCTGACACCCAAGCTGTTGTCATCAGAGCCACTCAGAGAGAGATGTGCCCCCTTAACTATGGGATTTTCCCCACAACAGACCCGTGTCTTCCTGCCCTGCACACGCGCGGGCGCCTCCTCAGCTCTACCCCGCTCACTTCCACTCCAGGTGGGTCGTCCCTCGCTGGGCGCTCAGCGGGCAGCATCCTGGGCGACAGCATCCCCACCTGCCCTCTCAGGGGCTCAGGTGGCCAATCACAGGCGGCCAGGAGTGGCCCTCTCCCCTCGGGCGGATCCCAGATCAGAGGCGCCCCCCCGCCCTCCTCCCTCCCCTTCTGGGTGTGTCACGTACGAAGCTCCATCAGGTGAAGTGTACCTGGCTCCCGGTGCCGTGGCGGAAAGCTGGGCAGAGGCTGCAAGGCGCCAGGACAGGCGGGCAGCATGGAGGGCCCGCTGTCCCCCACCCAGAGGCCCACGAGCCGCAGGTCGCTGTGAGCCAGGCCGAGGCGCTGGCGGAGCCGACCCAGGAGGTAACTGCAGGCAGGCGGTGGCTGGGGAACGTGAGGCCGAGAACACGTTTGCTGGGGGCTTAGTCATCCGACCGCTTTCCTCCCATAGGAAGCAAGACAGCCGGTCCTCCCGCTGGCTGGGGGAAGGGGAGAGCTGGGCTGCCGTGGGCACTGCCCACTGGACAGCCCACGGGCACAGGGTTTGCTGGGTGCCTGCTGCATCCAGAGACTAAAGCCCGTCTTTTCTGGGTGGACGTCAGCTGGGGGCTTCCCTGGGAAGGAGCTAAGGTGCAGAGGTTGGAGGCCAGGGAGAGCTGGGCTGCGTATGACTGTGGGCTAGAGCTGGAGAGGTGCAGGGCCGTGGATGGGGGCTCGGGCTCCAGAGCCGGCTGCTGGGGTCAGGTCCCAGCTCTGTCACTGGGTGACCACAGGCCATTTGCTTGTGGGGCTCTGTTCCATCGCTGGCGTCGGGCCGGTAGCTGGTGTGGGAGTCCCACAGGTTTAGAGGCATGTCCTGCACAGAGTTGGGAGGATACGAGCGTCGCATTGTTTTATAAACAGTGCCGTTTACTAGATGCGTGATCTGACTTACGCTCACTGACGCTCTCTGAGCCTCAGTTTCTCCATCTGTAACGTGGGGATGAAAAGTTCCCTTGAGGAAATTAAATCAGTTGCTGCCGTAATCGTAGCCAAGACCATGTCCCTGTGAAAAACACCATTTCCCCCATTCTGGGCCCGAGGAAGCTCTGTGGATAGGAATTCTGTATCTTCAGGCCCAGGCCCTCCGAGTAGCTGCTCTGGGTACCGCAGACGTCAGGCGAGGCGGTGGCAGCTGTGAAGGGCCTGCCTTGCTGTGACAACCCGTGGAGCAGGTTGGTGACGCCCATGTGTGGCCATGCGCTCGGCTGTCCACTCATAGGCTACTTCTTGGGGACGTCCTGTGTGTCCAGAGGAGGGCCAGCCTGCAGGACGCTGCAATGGGGAAGGCACAAGCCTGCCCTTGTCCTCGAGAGAGCGAGATGCCAGTGTGGGGCAAGGTAAACATTCAGGCCAGGGGACAGCCCGAGAGAGTGTCCCCAAACCAATCATGCCTAACTAAGGACCTTAGGATTCAAGGCAGAAAGAGAAATAATGGAGCAGGAGGGGGCAGGGGAAGCTCTGGACAGGACAGGCCCACGATTATTCCAGAAAGAAGAGTAGGACTTGGGTGGGGAAGGGAAGGGCCGAGGCTCCCAGACGGGAACAGCCCCAGGCCTAGCGGGGGCAGGGGTCCTGCTAGAGCTGAGGGCTGATTTGAGGGTGCAATGAGAGAGGGTCAGGCAGGAGGCCAGAAGACTGCTGAGGCCTTTGATGCCAGGCAGGGACAATTGTCTATGGGCAGGAAGATGTGTTTTAGGAGAGGGACCTGGCTGTGTACACCCAAAGAACTTGTGGGGGACAAGATAGAGCTGGAAGACCTGTGACACCACCACCCCCGACATCCGCCACAGCGATGGTCGCTGAGCTGGTCAGAGGCGGGCGGAGAGGTCTCCACCCACGATCTCCCTGAACTGTGAGGTAGCCCTAGGAAGAAAGTGAGGTGCTGTCCCCACCTACAGGACAGAAAATAGGCTCGCTCGTGGGCCTGGAGCTGGGTGTGGCAGAGCCAGTGCTTTCCCTGGGGCAAT